TCTATTTTCTGTTCCATTATCCCAAACGTTTTCTTTTTGAGTGCACCTCAAAAAGAACCGTGCCCTTGACAACCCCACAATGATTTTTTGGTTCCAAGCGGATCGCTAAAATGTTGATGATCCAGAATGTTTCGCCCTGACACGCCCCAAACATACATGTTGCACAGCAACCCCTCCGACCCCTCTGAACTGCTGTAGAACTCATACAAAGCATCTCTACCTCCGACATGGGCAACCGGCAAAACTGGCAACACGGCCTCGCCCATGTCGGCACGGTCTCTCTGCGCTGCCACCAAGCACCAGAGTCCACGGGAAGCTGCTTCTTTGCATCTTTGGCATAATCTGCAGCCAGCTCGAAAACGTCATTGCCTGAAATAACTGGCATCATGGGGGTCAGGACAGGCGTAGAAGTTGCTCTGGCAGTGCAAAGGAACCAAAACGACACAGTAATGCTGAGAAAGCGTCAGCCCTCTGCATCCTTGCACTGCGGAAACGTGACCAGCAGGTCCCCCTCCACGAAGGCGTCACAGTCCATCGTCAAGGCGTTGAGGGCATCGTATGCATTCAATTCAAACTGCGGCACAACCGCAGCATGTCGGTCAATTGGGTCCGCCTTGCCGGTCCCGGTCCCTGGCTGGATGGCTTCAAGCGACTGTCCTTGGAAGAGCTGCGCTGGTGCCCCCATGCAGTCAACAGAAAACCAGTGAGGCCTCGTCGGGTTTAGAAGAAGTGTGGGTGGAACACAAAACAAACTGCAACTGTGCAGCTGTTCATGAGATGAAGAATCATGGCATCCTGATCGCCAAATAGCTGTAGCTCCACGTGCGCTGCTGTCAGCGCATCATGCAAAAACTTCATCGACCAAGTGCTTTGCCGAATGATCCAGTTTGCGGAGCTCAGGCCCCATCCTTCTTCAGTGATGAGGAGGTCCACCTGTGACTAGAACGGCGAAGCATCAATTCCATGCCAATCTTGTGACTATCTCCTTCTAAGACTAGTTATGACTAGTTGCCTACTGAATTTTGTTCTGCTCTGAAAATTAGTAAGCGTAGTAATAATAGTAGTCACACTAAATCATGGTCCACAATAGGGTAGTCCCCAAACCTAAAAACCCTTAAAAAACTAAGCCCTAAANNCCTAAACCCTAAAACCCAAAACCAACCCAATAGGGGACGCGCCTCTGGGTCCAGCAGAGTGGTATTACAGCCAGGCCCAAGCTCTCGGCAAGGCTCTCGACAGGGTGCCCTGGAGGCCACTCCACGGTGCACCCAAACCTGGATCGCTGTTAAGGAACTTAATTTAAG